AATTATTGGCCTTCATAAATCCATCTTTTCACATTAGTTGTCCCTTGCTGGCCCCAGCCACTGGCATTCATTGCTTCCTATCTATTAGTATATTTAAATGCCTTTTCACAGCACAGCTCTTCTTGAGCTTGATCCATATATTGGCCTCCACTCCTTTATGTTTGTTGTGTAAGCCTGTGGTGCTATTGCATTCTATATTGAACACAGCAAGTTGTCTTATATCAAATAAGACTGTCCAATGTTAGTATCATCTACTATGGCTGGCAGTGAATTTTCCAAGGCCCTGGGCAAGTGACGTCTGTCACAGCCCCTGCTACCTGCAGTCCTTTAACTAAATACCAAAGACTGAACCTGGGATCTTTTGCAAACAAAATATATGCTATACCATGCAGCCACAGCTACTCCTATACAGACCATTAAAGTGAACTGATAAGGTTCAATGTACACATTGGCTCTTGTAGGACGCCAGTCCGCAGGCAGGGCCTGGGAAACCCCTGGAATTACAGCTCATCTCCAGGCTGCAGAGTTCAGTTCCCCTGGAGAAAATGGATGCATTGGAGGGTGGACACTAAGCCATTGTACCCCACTGAGGTCCCTGTCCTCCCCAAGCTCCACCACCAAATCTCCAGGAGTTTCCCAACCTGGAGCTGGCAACTCTACCTCCCCATCCCCCACTGGTGGCCAGGGGGGACCTGACAACCCTAGTACCAACATGTAACTGCAGCATCTAAATGACTGTGAAGAAATTATGCCAGTTTGTTAAGTTTCTTCAACTCAGCATCTGAGCCTCAAGGGGAAAGGATTGCTCCAGATCCTCTGCCGTACAGACTTCTAATAAAGCTCCTCTTAATTCCATCCAATCAAGGCACTGTCTCTTTGAAAAGTGTTCTATGATATACTATCCAAGCTGTGACAAATAATTATTACCTCACCCAGGGTGAGGTAGTAGTAACTGCTACCACTGCTAGTGCCCCTAGAAGCTGCCTCTAAACTACAGCTAACAGCTGCCATGAATCAGAAAAGAGGAGAGCTATACAAGAGGATCCAATACCCAGAAATAAAGAGTCCAGCACATTTTCTCATCACCATGAGACAAGCCACTTCTCACCTCATTAATTTCTGTTCTGGTGGCATAAGACCAGAGCAGCCTAAACTCACGGAGGATCAACAATGACTTGATGCAGAGAATTCAGTCCAGTTTATAAAGCACAAAGAAAAGTACAGGAGAAAGAAAATAAAACAGAGTAGCTAACCAAGCACTAAATCTGACAAGCATCTTCATCGTTTTTCCCAGGGTCAAGGGGGACTGGACACCGTTAGGATAAGTGAGGAGAACTGAAAAGGTGACAGGATGGGCCAGCTCAATCTGATTTGGGCAATTAATTATTGATTGATGTTCCCATTGTCACTACAAGATACAACCATTAAGAGAGTAATTATCTAAAAAGAAAGACTGGGAATCTCTACGTGTTAAAAAAGTATTACTCAAGGCAAAATGAAAAAAGCAAGAACCTGTACTTGAGTCATTAGCCTTAAATGTTTCATGCAGGAGTCAACTTGGCTATCGCCTAAAATGTAAACTGACACCTGTCTTGTTTAAAATAGTGTTAACTGTGGTTTTAGTGTTATGCTTGTGTTGAAACGTATAATCTTTGTTGGCATAAAGCGAAAGCGTAACTAATACCTTTAATATGATGCACATATAGGCAAACCCTATTATTGGGGATATATATGTACTGGACACATCTGTGAGTTTGCCATGCAGGTGCTGAAATATAGAAACCAGCATGCAGTTTTGCAAGCTTTCTTCTTTGCTTTTTTATATGAAGCAAATTTCTTATGGCTATAAGAAAGTTCTGAAAACCTGTCTGGTCAAAGCCCAGGTACTTGCTGGTTGGGAATTTTAGCGATCAGAAACTAAAGAGTCTGCTTTTCTGTTTCTTGCATACAGATGCCAGCCTCCAGGTGGGACCTGGGGACTCCCTGGAATTACAGTTCATCCCCAGACCAACAGAGATCAGTTCCCTTGGTGAAAATGGATGCTTTGAAGGGTGGGCTCTATGGATGTGTAACCTACTGAGGTTCCTGCCCTCCCCAGGTTCCACCTCCAAATCTCCAGGAGTTTCCCAACCTTAAAAATCATGAAGCATCCATCCAATATTAAATAACAATTGAGAGAAATAAGCCAACGTATGGTATGTGTCCCCTTTTGCAACATAACTGGGTGCAGATGGAGAACTAGTGGGTATATCTGTTTATATTTTGTAAAATAAGTTAAATATAAAACTACAAGTATACTTTGTAAAAAAATTGTGAGGAAACACCACCACATACTTTTAAATGGGAACTTAAACCACATCTCTCTATATAACTAATCTCAGCCCACATCATTATACCTCATTGGGCAGCATCTTAATCACACTAACTTTTCCTAGTCCTGGAAGCATACAGTCCAAATGTGGTCATTCTGAAGTCAAAAGGGTTATTCTTGAGTACTGTTTTTCAAAAATCCCACTTCATTTGAAAAGAATACATAATTGACTTTTTGGCACTAATGGAAAGTTAAGAAAATCAAAAAAATTTCACAGCCCTTACATTTATTACAAAATCAATACAGTGAAGATCCTTTTCCATAACTGTAAAAACAAATCTGCCTCAAAAAAAAATTGCACACTTTGAAAAATGAATTACCTCTTTCTTCCAAGGTTGCAATACCAGAGTCACTGAAAGACAAAAATTTTGAAAATTTTATTACAGAAGAGCTAAAACGTGAGTTCCTTTGTAGCACCATTGGAGAGATTTTAAAAATAATTTAAAATTATTCTCAAAATAAAAAACCTGTAACAATTTTTGCATTTCTTTTCTCGTACAAAGCCATATTGTCATACACAGTTTAACCGAATAGCTGTATGAATGCAAATCGTGTTAAGGGCTTGTAGATTCTCAGATTCTCCACAGTCTGGGTTCTTTACTAGTATTCTCAGGACAAGGATTAGCATTTGAGGAGGGGCCATGGCTCAGTGGTAGAGTATCTGCTTGGCATGCAGAGGGACCCCAGTTCAATCCCCAGCATATCTAGTTAAAGGATTGAGTGGTAGGTGATGCAAAAGATTTCTGCTGAAACCCTGGAGAACTGCTGCCAGTCTGAATAGACAATACCGAATATGATGGACCAATGGTCTGATTCAGTATAAGGCAGCTTCAAGTGTTCACTTGGAAACTGAAAGTGCCATCAAGTTGCGGCCGGCCTAGGATGACCCTACAGGGTTTTCATGACAAGAGACATTTCCGAGGTGGTTTGCCACCGCCTGCCTCTGCATTGCGATCCTGGACTTCCTTAGCAGTCTCCCATACATAGTGACAGACTTCACGTTCCTGGGATCCCAGATCATCACAGACTGTGACTGCAGCCATGAAATTAAAAGACGCCTGCTCCTTGGGAGGAAAGCGATGGCGAACCTAAACAGCATGATAAAAAGTAGAGACATCACCCTGCCAACAAAAGTCCGCGTGGTCAAAGCAATGGTATTCCCAGTAGTCATGTATGGCTGCGAGAGTTGGACTTTATAAGGAAGGCCGAGCGCCGAAGAATAGGTTCTTTTGAACTATGGTGCTAGAGAAGACTCTTGAGAGTCCCTTGGACTGCAAGAAGATAAAATCAGTCAATCCTAAAAGAAATCAACCCTGACTGTTCCCTGGAAGGCCAGATAATGAAGCTGAAGCTCAAATACTTTGGCCACCAAATGAGAAGGGAGCACTCACTGGAGAAGACCCTGATGCTGGGAAAGATTGAAGGGCAAAGAAGACGGGGACGGCAAAGGATGAGATGGTTAGACAGTGTCATCGATGCAACGAACATGAAATTGAGCCAACTTCAGAGGACGGCGGAAGACAGGAGGGCCTGGCATGATCTGGTCCATGGGGTCGCGAAGAGTCGGACTCAACTGTGCGACTGAACAACAACTCCCATACAAATACTAAACAGGGCTGACCTCACTTAGCTTCTGAGATCTGATGAGATTGGGCTAGCCTGGCCCATTCAAGAAGGATCAAAATGAAGCTTTGCGCAATTTCTGCTAAATGGGAAACCAGCACACATCTGGCCCCATTGAGACTTTTTTTGAGAATGTAATTTACAATCACATACCATTCTTACAACTCTGAAGTAGTAAGAAGTTAATGAAGGTGTTGCAAGGTACAAAATAATCCAGAACTACTTGATCTCTTCAATAATTAAGGCTAAAATTATAAATGCTGCGGTGAGTATGTCGTGATTCTTTCTGTGTCTTCTGGCTCAGCTCCCCCATGGGATCACAGTACAATAAAGAACTAACATGTCAGCTCTGTAGTGATGATAAACTGGCGTGCAGTGTTTCTACACAAGTGTAAGTGCAGATATACCCTTAGACTACTGAACTAGGGTGTTGAGGCAGCAGGTGAACAGTAAACAGCTTTATTTGAACACAAAGTCAGAAGAACCAGAATGAGACAAACAATGGAGCAACAGGCTCCTTTTTAAACAGTCCGGGCTTGGCAAGCCACGCCCACATGTCAGATGGTAACCAATCAGAAACTGTACATAAAGACCAATCAGTTTGCTTCCCTCCAGAACCTCCTTTGTTCTGATAGGTCGGTTTACGATACCTTGGTCAGACTCAAGCTCAGTACCTTCATACATTATATTACATACACAACATAGGGTATAAGTATGGTTTAAATCAGGGGTCCCCCAACGTGGTGTCCATGGGCTTCATACAGGCCTGTAGCCAGGATTTTGTGGTTTGTGGGGCATATTTTTTTCTGGTGGGGCTGAAGTTCTCAGTGCAGGGGGAAAAGCCATTTAGCCACTAGAAAACTGTTACCAGGATAGATCTGCCAACCACTTTAGATGACAGTTCTCAGCTGCTGCAAGTTAAATCACTTCTGCCAGCCTAAGCAACAATTCTGATAACAAACCAGCAGGTGGGGGTGATGACTTCTAGAGTCAAGAAAGCTAACACTTAGGCAGAAAAACCCTCTTAAAGGAGACCTGTTTCTTGACACAGGGTCAGAAATGATCCTAGAGGTCACCTACTCCAACCCCCTTGCTCAGTGTGGGAATTAGTCAGCTACAGCACCCCACTCTGCTTAAAGGAGCGCATGCCTTTTAAAAAAAAAGTTTAAAAATGTTTGAAAAAAGTATTTACAGGAGAAATTATTGTGGGGCTGAGCCTTTAAGAAAGGTGGTGGAGCCCATTAAAAACAAAAAAAAGAAAGGTGGTGGAGCCCCTAAGGCCCCACCATAGCTATGGGCCTGGCATCATGGCACCCACAGAGACCATTCCTGGTGCCTGCCAAGCATTTTTAGAAAGTGAGTGGGGCCAGGTGGGACTTTTGACCAGCAAGGCTTTGGATTGGCCACTGGAGATCTGATTGGCTACCCAGATTTTTTAAAATGTTGCTTTGGCTGCAGCTGCCACCACAGCACAAGCGTCTTCAGTGCATGACTAAAGGTAAACTGGGGCTCCGGTCACACGGGCCGGAAAATGCGGGGGGGGGGAGCGTGGCTGTTTGCCCCAGGCTAAATAACCGCGCGATTGCACGATCCGACGTCCCGTGTAACTCCCGTGGAGGTCCGAAGGTTAGGGGGGAGGTGCCGATCACACCACAGGCAACGAAGCAGGGTGGCGCGGCAAACGGGGTTGTGGTTTTTTTGTTTAAACTGAAGTGTGCGCATGCTCCGTTGGATGCTTGTGCGCATCCAGTGGAGACTTGGAAACAAAACCCCTTTTGCACTCCTCAGTTTCTGTTTCAGGTGGGACTTCCAAGGGTCAAACGACACAGCCCTTGTCCCCCTATAGCCACCCTTCCCCACTCCCTCAGTCGTTCCTTCAGCCCCCTGCCCCCCAAACCTCCCCTCAACCCCCCCACTCCTCCCCCTTCCTTGATCTGCTCCGTCCTTCTGCCCCTCTCCCGACCCCAATCTCACTTCCAGCCACACCCTAGACACGGAGTCTCTCAGGACACGGAGGGACTTTCCCCAGCCTCCCCCCCCCAATACCCTTGCAAGGAGCCCCCTTCCTTCGGCTGAGCTCTTCTGGCTGCCAGAAGCAGTGTCCTCCCCCTTGCTGACCATCTGGACTTGTCCCTCCCCTCGATGCATTGTTATCTCCCTGACTTTGCACCGTGAATCAAACGTCCAGCGTCTGGAAACGGGGTGTTTTGTTGTTTGTTTACACAGTGTGCGCATGCTCCGTTGGGTGCTGTTGCGCATCTGTGGAGAGTTGAGGGGAAAAAAAACAAAGCTGTTTGCGAGGGGACACGGGCGGGCGCCGGATGCTACGGGATTCCACCGGGAACACGATCACGCGCCTGCCCTTGCCCCGCAGTTTCCGGAAACTAGTACCTCCGAGGTACTAGTTTTTTGACGCGCGTCTTTGCTGGGAAGCCTCGGCTGAGCCACGGGAGTGCTACACTTCCCAGATGTGCCGGTGAGATCGTGCCCGGAAAATGCGCCTGACTTCCGTCTCACTACCGTGGCTACTGTTCCGTGTGACCGCAGCCTGGGGCAACCATTCTGTGATTGGCTGCACCTTCTTCAGCAGCCATTTTATGGCTGTGTCCACCATGCTGTGTAAATTTCCAAAGATGCTTGCAGGTTCATGAGGGGGGGGCTGCTTTAAATTACAGTGTTTGCTCTTCTCTTTGAACGAGCAGTACAGGTCCCAAATTTATTTCAAAATGTTTAAGTTTGGAGCAAATGTTTGTTTGGAGCAAAAACATCCAGGAACTAAATGGATTCAGTGCTGCTGTTATTGTACACACTTTGTCTACATACATAAACGGGGCATGAATTTCAGCAAGGAAGTCTCACCAACAATTACTACTGAAAGGGTTTGAAGCACACGCTCAAACCACCAACAATGTGGATCTTGATCATTAATAATGGAAGCAATTCTTCCAATGAAAAGGGATAATAGTTCCATATGTGGATGAAGTACATTTGCCCTGATGGACTCAATAAAGAGTTAGGGGTTATTCCTGGACCCAGCCTTACAGATGGCAAAGTAGGCTGCCATCCTTGTTAGGAATGGCTTGTTTCAATTACACCTAACTCAGAAACTGTGCCTTCTCTTGGATTTACCCAATCTACCTACAATGATTCATGCTACTGTAACCTCACTAGATTACTGTAATGCATTCTACATGGAACTGCTCTTGAAGAAATTCCCCAATTAGCACATAAGGCATCAGTCTGGCTGTTGATTGGGCCTGAGAAGACCAATCACATTACTGAGATTCATGAACTTGTCCACTGGTTGCTGCTGAATTTCTGAATTCACATTACTGATTAAAGCCCTTTACTGCCTGGGACCCACATACCTACTAGAATACCCCTCCCAGTATAAGTCCTTGAAAGTCCTATTCTCATCACAGCAGGGATGTTTGTTCTTAAGTCAGAACTGATTCAGCCTGAATGAGGGCTTTTTTGGAGGCAGTTCCAGTCCTGTGGAACAGCTTGACAAATATAGTATGTGAAAAGCTTGGTGCTTCACAGAAGGAACAAGACAGGACAGGTGTCTGGGTAACTTGATTTGTTTTTGACAAATAGAGGTAGCTGCACTAGAGAATATTTAAATAATGATCACAAAATTTAAACAAAAATGTGTACAAAAAATCTACATTTATATATATGCACAAGGCAGTTGAAAATGACGATGATCTCCGGAATGTTCTATCGTTTCGATACTATTCTTCTTCCGAATGTGGATGAAAGCAATGACTCTTGGTCTGTTATTTCAACAGGTACGTATCAAAAATTTCAATAATATTCACCGATGTATCATAACATAGTTGCAAGAGATTCTGTGAAAGAATGTTCCTAGGGGAAAGTGCCTGTATAAAGAATGCCCTAGGAACATTCTTTCAGAGAATCTCTTGCAACTATTTTATGATACATCGGTGAATATTATTGAAATTTTTGATACGTACCTATTGAAATAACAGACCAAGCGTCGCTGCTTTCATCCACATTCGGAAGAAGAATAGTATCGAAACGATAGAACATTCCGGAGATCATCGTCATTTTCAACTGCCTTGTGCATTTATATATGTAGATTTTTTGTACACACTTTTGTATAAATTTTGTGATCGTTATTTAAATATTCTCTAGCGCAGTTACCTCACAGTTTCTTCTTTTTTTTGGTCTGTTCTGTGACTGTGACCATCATTTTTGAGCCAAATAAATAGGGGTTCCAGGTCTCCTCCAGCCACTGGTGGCAAGTGGCGGGGTAGGAACCGCAGTAGGGTGCAATGCCATAGAGTCCACCCTCCGAAGTATCCATTTTCTCCAGGGGAACGGATCTCTGTAGTCTGGAGATGAGCTGTAATTTCAGGGGGTTCCCAGGCCCCACCCGGAGGCTGACATGCCTACAAATAAAGCCCTGGTAAAGGCTCCTGCTTTTCAGGAACGTGTAAAAATGTTATTTAGCCGTGACCTGGATAGCCCTGTCTAACCTGATCTCATAAGATCCTGGAAGGATAAACAGGGTTAGTATTTGGATGGGAGGCCACCATGAAATAGCAGGGTCATGATGCAGAGGAAGGCAGTGGCAAATCACCCCTGAAGTCTCTTGCCTTGAAAACCCCCTGAGGGGTCACCATAAGTTGGCTGCAAATTGACAGCAAAGCAACAACACATTGTTTTACAGTTTACTGTTTTACAGATTATTTTTGCAAAATGCTTTGGGGCAAATCAGAAGAGCTGTTTATTTAAAATATTTATATACCTTTTCTTAAAAGAAGAGCAACAAAATCCTCTCTCAATCATAATACTCCCTGTTGACAAAAGCCACTTTTCCCCAATTCTTATAATACAGGAAATGCATCTGTCAACTTTACGGCAAAGATTAAATATTAACAGAGTCTGTTAAAGTCCTCTAGTCAGAATTAGCATCTCCTTTTATTGCCTGCTGCAAAGTACTGCCTAAGGCGGTGCAGAATCAATGTTAGACAAAGATACAATTCATCTCTTAGAATGATGTAACAAGGTTTCCTTTCCAGTCATGAACCACTGTTCTCATAGAAAACGCGTAATCAGAATTTCTAGATTTAAACTATAGTGATGGCAATTGATTTAACAGAGCTTTACTTATGTCCTTTTACTTTTAAAATTAATGTAAAGAAATGAATTGCAATTTAAGAAGAGGCTGGAGGAAAGACATTCTCCCAACACCTCCTTAAAAACATGCTATAATGGAATGCATTTCAACTTAACAGCCTCTGTATATCACATTTTCTGAAACGATGTTATATTCCAGATTCGTATGTGGTAGATCTATCGTACAAAATCTTAACCCTTAGATAAACTTCTTCAGAGATGCACATTTTTGATAACTGGGAAGTCTAACAAACACTTCAGTTTTCCTTTTCTTCCAGTTAACTGTTTGTGGGACTGTTATAAGAAACCCGCTGAGCAAGAGACAGGATGAGTTTACATCCTCAGTGTTATCAAATTTAACTGCATTCCATGCTTCCACCTTGCTATCCTGGATTGGATTTCCTGGACCCACACAATTTCCTTATCTCAGAAATGAAAGTGCAGAACTCTTTCCTAATAACTGCTGAATTTGCACAATTCCACCCACACTAAACTTATAACAAATTGGATATAGTGTACCAACAGTGTTGGGGGTGGGGAAGCATGTAACGGAATTATGATAAAGTGCTATTATTGTAAATGTAGCTTATACATTGCCAAGAAGTTTAAGAGAACATGTGAATGGATGCAAAGACACAGATTCATGAGAGGGGGGGGGGAGCAAAAGGCTTCAACAGAATCAAAAGAACTGCAAGACAAAAGTCCAAACGACTCAAACAAGGGTCTGTGCTTTTTGAATGAGGCACAGAATTTTCACGAGAAAATCAGGCAACAATAATGTGTTACAGGAAGTGGTGGTTTGTGCACTCCACCCCCATAAAGATCAGCA